TTTTTTTTAGCATTTTACTAACGATTAAAAAAAAAAAAGTTTAGTCCAATAATTGGAATCACCTTTTATTTATTTTTCTTTGTAACTAGAAGGTAATGTTACTTTAGATGTACAATTGTTTGGAAATAATAAACCATTGTGAAATAATTTGCTAACCTTTCAATAAATGTGTCCCAGCCATCCTCATGTAAACAAAATTCAATTATACAGTTCTCCATCCTATAGCTTGCTGCTTTATTCTTTGTTTTAACTTGGGTTACCTTTTTACTAATTTCCTTGCTTTCTTCTTTCTTTTCACTTCGCAATTCCTGCACTAAAATTTGCCTTAACCTATCTACAAAATCAGCCTCATCAAAAACCACACCTAATTCTTTTAGAGTTAAAATCAAATCTTGTTTCTTTAATTCATGCACCACAAGTACCTTTCTTCATTACTTTTATCCTCGTCGCCAAATGTTAAGTATTTGAATATTAAAACACAAAAATACACTATTAGTAATCAAAACTCTTTTATTCATCATAAAAGATAACATGGTTAGGTTAATACCACTAAATCACTAATTGGTATAATCGATATATCACACATATGGCCTTAAGTCAGTATGTATATGTACTCAGTTTTGATAATTTAGAAAAAAGAGGATAAAGTACTTTAAGTATCTTGACGTTTGTCAAATGTCTTACGTTTCATTTTTACATGCGGGTCCTATGTCATCCTTTTTGTTGACGGTGATTCCAAGGTAAGGTACTGAGTCGGTTTGAGGAATTTGATTGTTGTCAATATAAACCGGAGGGCAGGTGTGTTTTCTAATAGTAAATGTTATATGTTTGCATCTGTCATGATTAAGTCTAATTTTCCATAGTAAGAACCTATCATGTAATTTATGTTAAGTGATGCTATACAATTAGTGAGGCTTGTGTATGATATTGATGTTTTGTAAGAATTGTTGAGTCGTCTGCATATATACCTGCCGTTATCGTTAACAGATATATCGTAACTGTATACAATGTAAAGTAGAGGGGCCAGTACTGAACCTTGGGGAATCCCTGCCAAGATCAAAGACATTTCCGGGCCCTGTCAAGCTGAGAAAAATGTGTTGAAGAGAAAAGATTGAAGGACAAGATTGTATGTGTACGGTATTGTACTTTTAAGTATGGAGAAAAGACCCTGACTAATCTAAAACAATGTATTTTGCGATTTATTTAAGAATATTTAATTTAATTATCTCGTTCCATTTATTGCACTGAATGATAGGATCCCATCATAAGCATTTTTCATTTATCTGTAGTTGTATTAACTGTTTCATATTAACCGCTCAGTAATTAGTTTAAGAAACTAAAAAAGGGCGTTTTTCTCTAATATTCCAATAGGAATAGTGAAAACAGGCAATTTATTTTTATTATTTTGGTCCTGTTAACATATCACACATATTTTATAGTTTGTTGTACAGAACCCTTTTTATCAAATTATTTACATCCTTCTGAAACTTTCTAAATAGCTTTATCTCATCGTAACCTACAAATATATTATTTACGAGAATTCTCGGAATTGGTGCGTTTTCAATCTGGAGGTCGGCAAACTTTTTCTATTAAATTAGGTACTAAAAACTCGTAAACACACATTTGCTTTCCACTTTAATTGTAAGATAACTTGAGCACAAAGTCGAGATCAAAGGCTGCCAAAAAAAAAAAAAAAATTGAGCCGTTTGGCGTGACTTACACCCCCAAATTGTCAAAATAACAAGGTTATCTGGCCAAAAGGTTCGGTATTTTTGAAGACCACCTTTTTTCTCGACTTCGTGCTCAAGTTGTCTAACAATTAAAATGAAAAGCAAATGAGTATTTACGTGTTTTAATGCCTAATTAAACAGAGAAAGTTTACCGACCTCCAATTCCGAGAATTTTCGTAAATAAGTATTTGTAGGTTACTATGAGATGAAGCTATTTACGACGTTTCAGCCGGATATTAATAATTTGTAAAAGGGGATCTGTACCACGGACTATTATCTTTCGTACAGATCTATGTTGGAAATCAAGCTTCTGTTCATAAATTATACTTTAATATGTAAATGAATAAGTGAATATTCAACAGATATATATATTTTGCGTTTGATGTTACCATTTCATCAAACATATGTGAATTTAGTTTATTGATTGGAATAATACACTCTCCGGTTTCCGTATTTTATGATCCTGAAATAAAGTATTTTCAATGGGCTCCAATATGAAACCTGTGTAGCCATTAGGGTCCTGTAGCAACATTGCTCCCGTTTTCATCTGCATTTCCTGTTTCGTTATTGTTGTGTATACTTCGTGTATTTGTACGCCAATAATCTGTTTAATCTCTTAGAGCCTCATTGTTTCATTATAAACGATGCGGTAAAAAAAGGATTTTCATAACCATCACTTCCCAGTCATAATTGTTTTCTTGGTCAGTGTGTCATATGTTTTAAAATTTAATTATTTATAAAAATAATAAATACAGTCTAAATACTGATCTCTATCTACCTTACAATAGTCGATCAACACATAACGACAGACTACAAACGATTGTATACAAATTTAAACAGATTACATTACAACAGATTAATAAGAGACATGGCACCATGGCACCAGCTGACATACTCCTCAATATGAGTAGGAGACTAAAAAGGCGTTGGATGAGAGATCTCCTTTCTTAGACAACCTAATTAATTGGAACAAGTCAAGGAAGACGTGCTACTGACTAATATCCTTCTAAATGCCTGACATTTCATTATTTCTCATACATTTACGGTGTAATTTGACAGATGAAAATAAATATTTAAAGTAAAAATAAATTATTAATTTAATTTATTTTAAGTAGGAGTGGATATGTATTTAATTTCTTGAAATAAGGAAATACTATAATTTCAATCGTTTTTCAAATATTTTTTTATTATTTTATGTTTAATTTGGCCTTTTAGACCCACACTCATCATTCAGATGAATGATTCATCAATCAAGTGAATCATTCAGGTGTTAGTGCATAGTAACATGCTTAAATTAAAAAATATTCCTCGAATGTTTGTTCAATTTAGTTCGAAAACTTCAGTGATACCGCAGTAACGATGTCGCCGTTACTAGGTTAAGAATAGCTCACACAAATTTAACTCATTCACATCTTATCAGCCACCTCTATGTCATATACTAACATACCAACACTACAATACCCCTCTCACTGTCAAATATATTTTCCAGGAATATCCTTATCTCAAGCGTAAATAGATCATCTCTGAAACCATATCAGTAATATTAAACAATGCGAATCATAAAAACTAATACATTTACTTAAAACCCATAGGATATTGAATAACACAAAAATATATATAATTTTTATTTTGTTTATAATTTTTTTTTGTTATTTTTTATCTCTTCTAAGCAGTTTCTGAACTCCAGAGAACAAAAATAAATGACCCACAGGCCTTGATGACACGAGGGTTTTAAGCTTTAAAGCCCAAACAAACATATTTAGTAAAATATAAAGTAGATGTTTTTGCGACTACAACTAACAATTTTTAAGCATTAAAACCCTAAAGTGTTAAGATGAAATATGCTCGAATAATAAGTTTTCAATAATACTACTTGTTGTAGTATTATTGAAAAAATAAAATTATTTTAAAAAAGTACCATTTGAACGGCTGGTACCTTATGATTTATTTTTTCGTTAATTTTGTTTGTACATTTATTTTTTAGTTAAATTCTTGAAAGAAATGACTTGAGGCAAGAGTAATTTATATTACAAAACTGTCTTTTTTTTTCTTATGTTCTGCTGAACGGTCTACTATAAGACAAATTGTTTTACAATCCATTTAAAAAAAGCTGTTAATTTTTTTCTCTTACAACTATTTCCTTTCCTTTCTGCTTCGAAACAGGTGCTCATATTTCTTTAATTGTGGATGAAAACGAATGATTCTTTAAAATCTAATACGATAACTATATATGATTTTTTATGCATTTAACCCGGTTTTTTTTTTACACATAGGTCCCAACAAGGGTAAATTGAGTGGTATTCTTAAAGCAACCAAAAATACAAAGAATCGATGCATTTTCTCTACTACTATTAGTTGAGTATAAAAAAAAAATACGTTTCACGGAAACAACATTCATTTGTCAACACGTTTATCCTGAAAAACAGATTTCTCTTAAGTTTATTCGATCCCAAAAACATTTTGATCAATGTAGTGAAAGAAACAAACAAAGAAAAATAAACCCTTTTCCAGAAATATTTTTCACATAATTTAATAAAGCTCACGTCAAAGGGAATAGAAGAGCCCGCAGGATTTAGTCTAGTAAAAGCTTTGGCTTTGACAACTGATGTATTCTTATTCAGGCATCAATCAAGTTCAAATGCCAGAGAAGATCAAATACCGAGAAACTGTAATAAGCTGTCAAATTCTACCTACACGCAATAAAGTTATTTATTTCATTATTTTCTTACTTCTAAGAATTCATGAATAAAAGAGTTTATAAAATATATACTTAAATATAAAGGAAACTTCTTAACCATCCGAACCCTCTTGTTTCTAATCTTGCTTCCTCTTTTATTCCTGATAACCCTCTTAGGCATCTGAAAATAAGATGGCTTCGGGACCTTCTAACATAGAACTTTAATTTGAGTTCTACCAATGTGTAGTTTCTCTCCATGTTGTACATGCCATGTTACCAATGTCGCATTTACTTGTTGTATTTTTCATGTAATACAGTTGTAAATTTCATTAAAATAAAATAAAAAATACAAAAGATTGGGATGTTCACTGTGTTTTGGGACATTATTCAGCTTATCTGTCCAAAATCTGATAGCATACTGAGCTTCACTTATCAACTGTTAAAAAATATAGACGAACTCACTAGAAACGATACCACGATAAATTGCAAAGACAATGTCCTATGAAATCGCCACTACAATAATACCACTCGTGCCATTATTATTTATTTTATTATCTGGTTTTTGATGCACTTGCAAGTTTTATTTGTTACAGAAACGGAACACTTGACATCCTCATAGCCGACTCCCCCATCCTGGATTACTACCGAGCCACAGATCAGGGATGTAAATTGCAGAAGATTGGCGACCAGATCAACGATGACATGTATGGTATAGGCATGATCAAGGGGTTCCCGCTAAAGGTAAAATTTTTATTCAACATTACTTATTTATAAATGTTTACTATAGCCTTAAACTTTTTTTTTAAGAAAAAAAAAAGGAATCCTGTTACAACTGTTAGCCATACCTATTAACATTCCTTAAAATTCTCTCGGGCAACAGAAAGACCAAGCAAGAACAAATATGTTTGTATATTGTAAACTTATATACCGTAATTCGTTTATAAAGTTGAAACAAAGGAGAATTAGAAAAAAAAAATAACTTTTTATAATCATATGTGCTTTGTAGTTGACCGTAAAACTTAATTATTGTGTAAATTAATAAATGTAAAGAGGTGTCATTAAGAATTTTTATATGAGCCACTATTACTGAGTATGTAAGCATTCTGGAACTCTTGGCCATTACACCCTCATATTGCGGTCAACTGAACTTAATTTATCTTCTTGCCCTATATATTACATTTATTAATTGAAAACTACCAATAGAGTCGACTTTTCTCCCACTCCCTCCTCATTCTACAATCATATTTATTCAACTTATTTTCAATAAAAACTGATACGTTTATTCGCTTTTTCCATGGCTCGCCCTGGTTCATATTAATAAGAAAACAATCAAAAGTGATGTGCTGATCACTGTTTAAAGCGGTTTTCCAAAGAAAATTAGTTATAGAAGCTCGTGCTACTCTTTTCATACGAAAATTTGCCTCTGCGGTGTAGTACGGTTTAAGCATGGCTGTTGAAGAAATCGCAAAAATTATTTGGTCTTTTTGATGAGACGCCAAAGAAAATAGAGGTGTAATTGTTCTCTAAAACTGAAAAAAAAAATTATTTCCAAACAATTATTCTGTTTAATACTCTAAATAGAAAAACTATAAAACAGAAAAAATAAGGTGTGTTCTTTAGACTACCCGATAGTTTTCACTCATCAACAAGACGAGATTAATAATATGAAATCTAAATTGCAAATGATAGCTCATTATAAATAAGATGAAATGCTGAGCATTTCTCTCACTTTTGACATGCAGGTCCGATATTTAGTTTCTTCGATATTTTAATCTATATCTTCCATAAAAATCGTTTATTTTTCGACACCATTTTTCTTTTTCACCTCTCTAACACTGCGTCGCATTAAAGTATAATTTCGAATAATAGACCATTACAGAGAGGATGGAATGCTGAACAATAGCCTCGCTTGCAATATGCAGGTCCAATTTTTAGTATTTGAGATATTTTAATCCATATGCAAAAAGACTTCAGTCAGTTGACCCCAGCCGACTTTACACGTTGCATACCGGAGATCTGACAGTTCAGTCTGATTCCCTCTCCTAAAGAAATGTGCAAAACACGCCCAAAGAAGTTTTCACTTCAATAATAGAGCTTTAGGATAAAAATAAAAGTAATACAGTTTGCGAAAAGGCCACTTCCATATGTCAAGGGCAGGATGTTACCAGATACAATGGTTCGGAGGCCTTTTTAACCCTCGAAAGTAATTGAAAAACGTGATAAGAGCCCACGTCTAAATTAACTAAAACTCATAAACCATTTGCGTCCAACCAAAATGTCTTTATGACCTCTGATCAAACACAGGGGGATCTCCTAATGGACTGCACTGTGCACTAATTGATCAACAAATAAACTGTTATAAACTTCAGGTAACAGTGATCAATCATTAGTTCTGAACAGTGCATGTTCCTCATTGTTCTTTATTGTATATTTAAATATTATTCTACTCAATTATCAATTATGTGTATAAATTAGGTTCTGAAAGGATAAGAAGATATTGTTATTTTTACTCGCAGCTTTGGCAACCTTATTGACATGAAAATTTAAAGATATGTAAGTAGTAATGTCTAGCAATGTCCTCATCCCAGGTATTTATCTGATGATTTGATAGTTTGAAGCAGCCTGAAAATGTATTGATACTACTTCATTTTAAAATTGATCAGACCCTTGGGTTTGTGAATATCTGTTAATAGCCGATAAAAATCCAAAATAATGATACATATCGTAGGTGCATTTTTTGTATTTTAACTTTCAAATTCGCTACTGTTGATGCAAAAGGTCGTATGAAAAATTGAAATTTTTTTACAGAAGCTCATCAAACCCAATTATTTCATTGTGTTTTATAAGTAATATTTCATATTTGATCTCCCTCTGCTATTTTCCATAGTGACTTATTGCAGTTACAGACTACAAAAGGTCACTTCAGCACAAATAGAATAAACATACTAAATGGTTATATGCGATCTTTCGCATTGAAAGTAGCAATATGTTTTTGTGAATTCCGAACATTTTTACGTTAAAAAAAATTAATTAATCACAAGCACATATCTTTTTATGTATCAAATATTTACAACAAGAGAAAATTCATCGAATTTCTTATTAATTTGAGTTTATGAAATGTTAATTAAAGACTTTTTGTAATAAACCGACGATGTAGCCGAAAAATTTGCAATAACTGATGTGACAATCTTTGTGACAGAATTGCCCCTTCAAGAATTTTCGATACAGTAACGCAGAACCGAACAATGTAGCGGGTCTGCAGGTTTTACAGTAGAAAGGCGACGATGTTTGAATCATAAAAAATACACTATTTTACTACCTTTTAATTTATATATTTTTATGAAACCATTCAATATAATTAATCAAATTAAAAACTAATTTCATCATTATTTTTTTTATTTTCAAGTTTATTTATTTTTAGCCATTTTACACCAATTTTCAAAAAATGTTGTCAACTTAATGACTACACATTACGACGTTTCGGCTCGTTGAGCCATTTTCAAGTCTAGACAATTTTTACAATTTACAGTCATATTTAAAACATTATATACTTCAACATTTAGAGATTCATTTTATATACCTAAAATACCAATCATGTACCTGTCCTTTTCAACTTATGCGAATTGCATGCGTCTACTCATGTAAAAAAAAATTATTTTTGTCATGTCCACCTTTAATTATTTTATAACATTATTATTACTCAATTATTTATTATTAAATGTTTCAAATAAGTTAAAATTACCTTATGTTGTGACACCGACATCTCATCAGCCTCATTTCAGTTTCGTGACTGGTTATTCTTAAAGGAGTAGGGGAAGACTATTTATTTTAAACATATACAATGATTTTTCCCAATATTATATATGGATTTCTTTTAAGTACAATTAGCTAATTCATTTCATATTTTTATTTTTCCAATCGAACTCGCGTAAAAGGTATTCATATTATCCACATCTGTATGATTATTTACAGAGTTTTTTAAATTTTTAGCTATGTATATTGCTTCTTTTATTCTACGTTTATTCATATTACTTTCATTATGTAGAATTTTGGCGTTATTGAAGTCAGATTCATGTTTTGTTTTTATTTTGTTTGTATTAAAGGTGGACATGACAAAAATATTTTTTTTTACATGAGTAGACGCATGCAATTCGCATAAGTGTAAAAGGACAGGTACATGATTGGTATTTTAGGTATATAAAATGAATCTCTATATGTTGAAGTATGTAATGTTTTAAATATGACTGTAAATTGTAAACAATTTTTAGATTTGAAAATGGCTCAAGGAGCCGAAACGTCGTAATCAGATGAGTAGTCATTAAGTTGACAAAAAATTTTGAAAATTGGTGTAAAATGGCTGAAAATAAATAGTATGCACCAAAAAGAATTGGAGAAATATTGTGAATTTTTTTTAAATTCTAAGTATTAATATTCGAGTTTAAGGATAACTGTTAGCGATTCGCAAGGAAGGGTGTTGAGTACGACGGCTCCAAACCGAGTAACCTAATCTGTTTGATTGATTAATTAATTAAGCAATTGATCCAGGCCGATTTGTCACTGCCCCTGAACCCTTTGGATGATGGGGCACTGCCAAATTGGCCCTAAAGGGAGATGGGGTCGGTTATGTGAAGCCTGCTATCGTGGAAATCACGATTCCCTGTAACATGAGTCATGTAATATGACTACCTGTTGAGCTATTAATATTATTTTTTGTTGCATTTCAAAAATTCCAATTATTTTTAAAATTTAAATCATATCTACAACAAAGGGTTTGATCACAGTAGTCAAGTCGATTTCTCTTCTGAGTAGATATTTACCTCTGATGCATCCTGTAATGATGTAGCTTACTTTTTCATTTTTAAACTGCACGAATTCAAAATTAATACACATTTCACCTCCTTCCATGTACCCCTAAAAAGATGCGACACTTGCGCAAATTCTTCCACATCGAATCCTCAGGTTTGGTAAGCTAAGGGCAGGTTCTCGCTTTTTTTCAATGTTCACCATAATTATTAATGAAAATATTTTAAGATTTATTTTCAAGTTTATTTATTATCAGTCAATTTTACCATTCAATCACTGAATAGAAATGAGACTTATGAAATGTGGGTGACACATGATACTGGCTGGGTGACATGACAAGAATAAAAAAATTTATTATGAGTTGACGCATGTAATTCGCATAAGTGAAAAGGACAGGTACATGATGGGTATTTTAGACTTTAAAATGGATCGACGAGCCGAAACGTCGTAATTGAGATGTGTAGTCATTGAGTTGACAAAATTAAAAATCGGCTGATGATAAATAAACTTGAAAATAAATAGTATGCACAAGAAGAAGTGAGGAATATTGTGAATATTTTCAGATTAATTTTGTTTAGACTGTCGTTAGTAAACAACCTGAGCACCATAGAATATAAAATAGCCTAATATTAACTAATAAAAAACTATATTATAGCTAAACCGATGACATATATGTATTTTTATTGTTAAACAATTTTTTTCTCTCTCTGCATTCATACCTTTCATGGATAAGTAATTTGTAAATATGAATATAAATTAAGGTTACTACATTTTACCCATGGGGAGAGATAGAACACACCAGAAAATCGTTCCAGTCTTATTTCCCATAATTCAGGAAAAGAAGTCTCTCATTCTGTTCCTTTTTAATAGGCATGTCAGCCTCAGCCAAATCATCAACCAGTCTGTCGTGATGTCCGTGATGTTTATTATGAAAATGGGTATATAGAGAACGTATGTGTTGTCAATAATTGGTTGTAAATCTGTATATAGAGCTTTTGTTATTTGCGTACAATCTTATGGTTTTGGAATAAATCCAGTTTTTAATCAAATCTCTGAGGGGTGCATTCAAAATGTATTGATTCATTTAGTTTCATCATAATAATCATACATGATGCATCAAACAATACGTTTTCATTGTTTTCATGTATGTTACACTTACCTACTCAAACCCATCTGGACATACGTCAGACTCAGATTTACGGTTCGGCAAAAAAGATGCACTTACAAAAACTACAGTCATTTCAATCCAACAATTTTACAATTTATAACAGGAGCTCGCTGGTACGTCAACAACAAAACTTTACATAACAACTTACGACAATCAACTAACTATAGACCAACACATACGTACTCTCTACTCTCGTTTTCATCTCAAGCTACACTGATACACAAACAGACTTATAAACGGCATAGCCACGACTGACATGGCCATCAGAAGGAGACTAAAAAGGACCTAGATGGAAGATCTCCTCACCTAAATCAAGGAAGTAAATAATGACCTGGAAGAGATGATGCTGGGTACTATCCTTCCTCATGCCTGTAATTCCAATCCTTATCATCACAACACATCTGCTGATTGTCAATACCATGACAGGCTTAGTTTATATATATATATATATATATATATATATATATATATATATATATAAACTAAGAGAATTATATTTTTGAAGTATTTTTAACATAAGTAACTAAAACATTAGTGTTTTTGTTATTGTAGTTTTAAAAATTGTAATAAATATATCTCAGTTCCTATTAATAAAAATATCCATGGTAAATAATAATTTTATTGACTATTGCTACAATTGATTTATTGCGGTCAATTTGTAACACTATTTTTATTTTATGTCAATAAAGTCGCTCTCGCCTCCTGAAGTCGGAAATAGGGTCTATTTCTTGACATCTGTCAATTCTTATGAAACGTATCCTCTCACCCAGCGACCACTGCTGCCAAATAACCTCTGGAAATTAAACTTGTATAGCTATCCCGATTTATGTTCTCTGTGGAGGAAAGCCGTGGAATGAGGTCACGCCTCCATGTAACATAATTTAATAAGTGCTTTTTAAAAAGCAATTACTGGTTTTTTAAATAACCTAATGAATTAATACATTGGGAAAACTAAAAATGCATGAAAAACGATTTTTTCAGATCATATAAAATAAATTACACAACACTTTCCAATATTTATTCTTAAAGTAAATCACATAAATTAGCATGGATATTGAACTACTGCAAGTTTTTTTGGATATTATCAGTAATCGGCATAGACCTAAAATATTTCGGATGAAGTAAATACATTTTTAAAATATATCACATTTCTGAAGCCACAAATTACCACACCTGGCATAATTATCAACAATGAACATGAACTACAAACTTTTCAATCAAAAACTTTCATGACCATAACTAAAGCTCCATGGTAGGTCACAAACATTACTATACATGAAGATCTTCAAATACCAACAGTTAACGACCACATACGGACACACTAAAAACAATTTAACAATAACCTACATGGACATACTAACACACTTATACAAAGTATGGCTACATTTAACATGCCCGAAAACACACTTAGGAGTCTCAAAAGGAGCTGGATGAGAGATGTCTTCGCTTAAAATATGCTAAACGCAAGACAGGAAGGGATGCCGCTGAGCACTCCTCTCCATCACGCCAATCAAGCCACTACCTATATTCTTACTGACAGCAGAACCGCCAATTCAAGTCATTGCTTATGACAGGTGTGGGTGAAGAAATACAGTTACAAAAAAATAAAAAAAACGTTCGTGTATTCATATTTTTTCCTATTAAAAAAATACTGACTGAGTATTTAAATATTAATTATAATAAAAGGTTTAGGGAACGCGAAGGTTTAATGCAGACACTGCTGTCTATCCATCTATTCTGCAACTGAAAATTTACAGGCCATCCCAGCATTAAGGCTTGGGAACGGAACAGAAATGTATTTCTCACATTCTTGGACATAAAGGCTGCATTCCATCCCTAGACAAGAACTATGGAAGGCCCTGATGGACAAAAATATTCCACGAGGATTGATTGATGCTATAAGGTCTATGTATCAGGACTCAAAGGGCATAGTTAGGATAAATGAAATAAAGTCTGATATTTTTGCCATGAGTAAAGGTGTTAAGCAAGGAAAGAGCTTGAGCCCCTACTGTTCATTATATATATGGACGAAATTTTAAAGATTTATAAACGACGAACAGCGCGAGCAGCAGTTGTAGGAAAATGGAACATAAGGACGATATTGACAAAAGTAATGGTATTTGCATTTTACATCGTTCTCATATCAGACTCAAAGGAAAATCGGCAGCAAGCGGTGATCGAATGGTGGGCTGACCTAGAAAGAAAGGGTATGGCAATTAATATCAGAAAGAGCAATGTAATGCACATTGGACGGGATCAGGAGATTGTTGAAATGTATTGCAAATTAGAGGTAATGAAAATGGTGGAGGACTACACATATCTAGGTGCAGTAATAAACTAGAACAGAAGGGTCGATCATGAAATCCTAACAGGATTAAAAAGGCCAATGTTGTGTAATACAGTTACGCAATTGTGATTTGGAAATGGGCGGTAGAGAGGAATGTAAAAATACATATATTTAAAGCGGTATATCTACCAACCCTTATATATGGGTGAAAGCTGGGTCCCATTAACCGAACACCTTAGCAGAGTAATTACTAGTGAAATGAAACATCTTCGAAGGGTAGCCGGCCGAACCAGGAGGGACTTGATCAGGAATGAAAAAATAAGAGAAGATCTGGGCACTGTCCTACTAAAGAATTCTATAGAAAAGAGGCAGCTGAGATGGTTTGGGCATGTATACCGAATGAGTGAAGACCATGACCCACGAAAATTCATGAAGGCGAGACCTATAGGAAAGCGTCCAAGAGGAAGACCCAGATTGTCGTGGATGGATTACATCTCCCAGATAGGGCAGAAAAGAGGTATGCGAATAAGGATATGAGGACTCTAGTTCAGGACTGAAACGATCGTGGCACCTCTACGCCGAAAGGCACAAAGGAAGTAGAAAAAGAAGAAGAAGAAGATAAATTTCTCTACAGGTTCAAACATTACTCTTCAAACTGTTCAAATATCTATACCATCGAAGTAGTTTTCACTTCTGCTGTTAAATATATATTTTGTCTTATCCATATTTATTTCGAGAACCATATTTAATTCTTTACCGACTCGCGGTAACGAACGGCGATAGTAACGATCATTACTGTATTTAGTTTCATAGTTTCCGTGTCTGCTCTTAACAGCACCGTATCATTAGTAATACCTCAATACTATATTTTGTATAGCTATTATCATTGTTAACATTACTTTGAGTGTTTTCCAATAAATACATTTTCACAAAAAATTGCATACAAAAGAACTTTCACCTTGAATCAATTACATTAAAAGTTTACTAATTATTCCATCAATTGATTAAATTTTGTAATTTTAATTTTTGTTTCATATTCCAGGATAGTATTTCCTCTGTTATTTCTAAATTTACGAGCAATGGATATATGGATCTCCTCCAGGAGAAATGGTATGGGGGCCTGGCATGTTTCACTGTTGACAATGATATGTCCCAGCCGAAGCCCCTCGGTGTCTCTGCGGTAGCAGGTATATTAATATTACTTTATTTTTGTTTTTATTTGATATTTATTTGTTTTCTTGACAAGGAGTACCAATGAAAATTAGTTTATCCTAGAATTTCATTATGTATTGATATAAATTTTTCAATTAGTACTGTTTTTATAAAGATATGAAATATTTCACCATTAAAAAAAAAATTAATGTGAAAAGGAAAAATGTGTTTTTCAGACCTAAAAAAGTTTCCCAACCTTACATTAAAAATGTGTAGACGTTGTGATATACGATTTGTAGACTATTCGCCAAATACAATGTCATTATCAAATCTGATTTGATAATCTTTATTATTATTATTTCATATTTATTTTTATACTTGTAAATACCAGCTGGTATTGGACAGATAGTTAGGTATATTGTTTGTTACAAGTTGTTATGTTTGTAAATGCATAAGTAATAACGTGTTATTTAATTAATTCTTACAGGTTTGTTTTCGTTTATTTATATTGTCCTTATTAATGTATTTTGTTATCTAATGCCATTGTAGTTTTTACAGATTAATAAAATTAATTGTGAATAAACCAAATTAAATTACTTAGCATTGTGCAAAGAAGGAAAATGCAAACATACGAATCAAAAATATTTTTATATATTATAATGTGTTAATATTAATAATTATTAAGGTAGACGAAGGTAATTATGAACTGGAGGAAATTTCCGAAAACAAACCTGTAAGAATTAATTAAATTACATGTTATTACTTATGCGTTTACAAACATAACAGTTTGAACCAAGAATACACACAACTGTCTGTCCGATACCACCTGGTATTTACATATTGTAATAACATAATGTTTTATATTAAATAATGTTTTATAATAAATATATTATATTAAATGTTTTATGTTATTTTATATTAAATAATAAACAATATATTATTGTGATTATTAAAAAAGCTTAACAGCTGGACAAATACTAAAAAGAGATATTTCCATTATTAAGATGTTTAATTTTTAATAAGAATTAGGCTTAGTGAAGAGATACATAAGAAGGTTTAATAAATCAGGTTGGAAACGGTCTTAAACGAGTTTAATATTTATATATCGAAGCCATGGTTTTCTTGCGAGTTAAAGCATTGTCCACCTTAACATTCTCGAGTACAGCGACAGTTCGCCATTACTTAAGTATTTAATAATTCTTCTAAGTAGGTTATAATAAAAATTATCTTTCCTCAATGTTGTAAACTTACGATTTATGTGAATTATTCAAGTTTATTTTTATCAAATGTTTAAAATAATATCACTGATTGAAAGGTACATACCTATAATTTAAAATGAAATTACATTTTGTGAATTCTATAATGTTATATTAATAAAATATCTAATTGCCACCATATGTTTTAATTAGTTATTGTTTTACTAGAAGGAGTTGTTTACTATATGTATATACATATTTATATTTATAAGCTCTCTTAATTCCTTTTATTTCCTACTATAAGAAACTACTGATAAATGGAACTTGTGTTGGAACAACTAAGAAAGTCTATAAATTAAATAATGGAATATTTAAATCATTTTGTGTGAACCTATTTGCATGTAATTTTGAATCAAATATTATAATAAGTAAAATATATTTTCCTCAAAATGCAATCTTGTTATCATATTACAAACAAATCATTCACATGTTTAAAAATTTCAATTTTTTTCATCAGAAAAAATTTTTTTTAGGCATTACAACCTTTTTTTGTTGTGATGTAATCCTTTCTCTGTAATTCACAAAATGGCCTTAAGAATGGATTGTAATAACTATTGAGAAATCGCACTCCTTTCGTTATGTCATAAAATATTCTCATAAAACCTAACTAGCCGAAGGGAATCGTTGTAGAAATTATCGTTAACTATTAATCATTTTTGCTGAGTGTATTGGGACGTTACCTTGCTGGGAAACTGGTGTGCCAGACCATTTGAAGTCAACTTTTGTTTCTCTTACAAATTTTTATATTCAGCTGAGTTTACTCTTGATGAAACAAATGCTAAATTTCCTTTCTTTTTGTAACCAACTGATGCCCAAACCATAACTTTTCCTCCGTGTCTAACATTTTGACACTGAGTGTATGTACTAGTGTATTATGTATAATGCACAGTCGCGATCATAGAAATTGCACTACTTATTTCTTCTTAAGCTTGATAAAGTTTATTTTAGATAAAGTTGTTCTCACAGAATGTTTTCGTTTTTATTCATTTATTCAAGGAGCAAGAAAACTTTAATAATGTTTCTCTGTTCAGTTTTAACTTATTCCAGAACAAATCTATAAATATGATCTGTTTCAAAAACTCCTCAGGAAATATTAAAATCCTGATGTAATATGAAATAAAGAAATTTTCACGGGAAATAGCGACGAGTATAAGGCACTAGCTTTATTGAAACGATAGTCATAGTTTCAATAAATTAAATTAAAAAAAAAAAATTTAAAAACAATATGAAACGAAAGAACTGAGAGGAGACAAAAGCAAACGAACAATTTGACTGGATTACTGGTACGATAGTTTTTAGAATACTGCTTAAAAACTGGAAAAGGAATATCCGATGATCTTGCAGATAGCAACATGGTAAATAAAATAATTTTTTTTCTGGGTGATGCAGTTTGGATTATCGCGACTGTAGATGGTTTGTATATTACCATTAAAAGTATCTGAAAGTTTAACTAACATTGTCTCAAGTATATAAAAGTATTTTAATGAATGTAATCCTAAATTATGTAATATAGTATTTACTTACCACCACCTGTTAAAACATGCTCTGTAGTAACCTTTATAAGAATTAAAGTGGTAAAAAATAAATTTTATATGACAATAAAGTAATCAACTTTAACTTTGAATATAAATCATGGGCATTATTTTACAATGTACTTTTTTTTTTAATTTTTGTAGTTTAATGATTGGTATCAATATTTTTTTTAAATTTGTGTAATGTATTATTTTACACATATTACAATAATATCAATATCGATATGAGTTATTTAGAAATTTAATTAAAATTAAGTAGTCTTTGGATTACCTGGTATCGTTATCTTTGATCGTATTATCAGTTTTTTAATTAGTTAATAAGTAGTTAGTCTAAAAGTGAACCTTTAGGATCTGCGATCCGTTCCTAGAATATTCAGGCTATTTATGAAGATGTACATTGGGCCAAAAGTGCCAATTAACCTTTCGAAGAAAACTGAATTGTTACTTGAATAAACAATTAGCAATCTAAATGATAAAAGGACTCACTGTCATATTCAATAATTGTGCTAACTTTATTCGTTTGATTGGCTTTGCCTAAAATAAGAATAAGCCTTTATTTTTATTTTATAGTAAAATTTGATAATTTATGTGAGTTTATAATGATATTATATTATTTCACTGTTAATATGTACTTTATAACGTGCGTTGTGATGTAAGATTATACTCGTAAAAATACATTCACCCATTGTCAATAATGTAAAGAGAATACATTAAAAAAGAAGTAGCAAAAAAAAAAAAAGACAATCTATGAGAGATTTATGTACCTTTACCGTTTAATGTCATTTCTGTTGCTATAAATACTACCTTTATAACAATTTAACTCTTTATTATTCATACATGATAAAACTAATATATAGTATTTTTGATAAAGTTTTATTATGATAGCATCAGGGTTTGAAATCTATAATTAAAAAAGTTAAAGTAAAATCTGATCAAAACTTTATATGGAATTTTTAAAAATCGTTATATGACTTTTATTGAGAGCTATTTTTATTTTTGTTTATAAGTGATAAAAATCATATCCTTATCATTTTTTTTTTAACAAAATTTTACAATTAACTATAGTAATAATTCTTGTGTAATACTTTTATAAATCAGAAATTCGTCGTAAACCAATGACTTCTTGTCCTTCAGTATCCTATAACACTACTTCGCATATTCCTTTTACCTAGGACTATATGTGGACAAACGTCTAACTTGGAATCCTGATACCAGACTGAAACGACAAGTAACCGCACGACGTTTCCGACTACTTATACACTTACTAGACAAACGCTCTGACCTTCCGATTAATTCCAAAAGATTCATGTACATGACTATAATACGGCCTATTTGGACTTTCGGAGTTGAGCTATGGGGCTCCACCAAATCTTCAAATTCCTCTCGTATCCAATCCTTACAAACCAAAATGCTTCGTGAAATCCTCAATACTCCTTACATTGTTACTAATAAAATCATCTGCGATGTTCTACTGTTTGGCAGATATAAGTAGAATACTCGGAATAATTACATTTTTAGGTATTTAATGGAGTTAAGCTATGGGTCTCCACTAAACTATCGAATTCCTCTCGTGTCCAATCCTTACAATCCAAAATCCTTGCTGATTGCTCCTTACTTTATTATAAATGATGTCATCCATAATGACCTTAATGTTTCTTATTTTTCAGATTTGGCCCAATCCAGATACCTATCCTTCTATAATAAACTTCAGAACCTTTCCTACCATCTCGTTTCTAACCTGGTTTCCTCTTCAATTCCTGATAACTCTCCGAGGCGTCTGAAAAGAAGATGGCCCCGTGATCTCCTAATATAGACATATTATTAGAGTGCTATCAGTGGGTAGTTTCTCAACATGTGTTTCATGTCATTATACCCATGTACGAATTTACTAGATGTAGTTTTTTTTTTTTTATACAGTTGTAAATATCAAATAAATAATAACAAAAAAAATTTAAATAGTCAGAAATATATATTTTTTCTAATCTCTATGATATATTTTGAGTCTGGAGTAGTAGTTGGAGAACATTGAAAAAAAAAAAATATATATATATATATATATATAGGCAATGAATCTCTAATAGTGTGGCAAGTTTTAGTGAAATTTCACTATCTTTGGCAGGTGCGTTTTCTTTGGTATCGTTTCGCATAATACATTTTTGCAACTCAATGACCGCTAAATAGTCAGTGTTTTTTTTAATACAAATTTTCTAATACAAATATTTAGACCTCAAATGACATATATTTATTTAATTTCAGTGCTTTCCTTTTATAATATCGATTTTAAAATTTTATTTCAGGAGTGTTCCTACTTCTGGGTCTTGGTCTCCTCATGGGTTTCATCATCCTCATGATTGAACATCTGTTTTATAAGTACACCTTGCCTATTCTAAGGCACAAGCCAAAAGGTACCATTTGGAGGAGCAGGAATATAATGTTCTTCAGTCAAGTATGTATAGAAATAATTAATACCTTAATTAATATAATTTTTTATCCTATAAAGCATAGTAGATTAATGCGTGGTTTCCAAACGTTTAACATTGAGACCATTAAGTTCATCAAAAGAATATTTTTAACCTGATTAAAAAGGTGTATATTTTCAAAATTGTCTAAAATAGTAAATTACCTGAAATTAAAGTGTACAATAAATAGTCATTGTAAGGTTTTCTCTCTTTTCTTAATCGGTGGGTCATAATAATAATTATTAAACACGCAACTATTCATGGAATTCCTAAGTTAAAATAATTAATCCAACATAGCACGCTAAATCATTTTTATAGTTTTCCCCCTTATGACTTCGTTGTGGCTAAGTAATAAATTATATACACGGTGTCCAGTAAGTAGAGAAAAACGTTTAAAAAGGTAATAGAACACCTCAGGAGCTAAATCAATGTTTATGTATATAGTGTTTCGATTTTTAGAAAAACCAGGAAATTAGTTTTTGTGTTGTTTTTTTTATGATCACGTATTTTGTTTACGATAACCAAAATAAAACATAATTTAAAATTAATTTACTGTAAACTAGACTAAGTTTATTTTAGACCATGGTTTGTCATTGACAAAACCATTTAAAGAGACTTTCGAGTGACTGAACTAAGCTAAGTTTTTTTAAAACATGAATAATTAATGAAGATGATCCGGGTGGCGGTCGTAAATAGACTAAATAGTGGCAAAACTATTTTATTAAAAGCCAACGTTTCGACCAGACTTTGCAGGTCTTCTTCAGCGGGTGTGTTCAGCAACGAGTTTCATTTAGGGAAATTCCTAGCGGAACACACCTCCCTGAAGAAGACCTGCATAATCGGGTCGAAACGTTGGATTTTAATAAAATAGTTATTTATTTTTTTAATTAATTATTACCACTATTTAGTCTATTAACGACCGCAATCCTTCCTTAATTGTATTATTAAGGAAGGATTGCGGTCGTCTATTAAGCATTCAATATGAACTATTGTTTTTAACCGATCATCAACTATACAACAATTAGAAAACTTCGTTGTTTTATAAGGTTATATTAATTAAGTTGGTAGTTTATTACAAGATAATTTTAAATTAATCTCAATTTGTCTAATAAAGTATTTGATTTGATGTAGTGTTACCTGTTAATACCAGCAAAAATGGCTATAATAAATTGTTGGAAAACTTTAATGACTTCTAGACCAAACCCAAACCGGCTCTCCCATTGTTCACGCCCTTTTGGGTCGTCGTTTGGAGCTTAGTGCTGAGTCACTACGTAAAGAAGCACTGTTTCTTTGACCGAGATCACTCTCAACGGCCAGGTTTTCCTCTTGAATTAATTAATTAATTAATTAACATTGCAGTATTAATAAATTAGTTAACATTATAGAGGCCGGGTGGGCCACAGGAGAGTCTCATCTGCCGGATTTAAACCCAGGACCTTGAACTGTGGAAGCCAGCTACCCACTGAGCTAACACGCTCCCATTTTTTTTTAATAATTTGATCTATCAAACTTCAAATCCGTTGAGCCCTTCGCTCGAAAAATCTTATCATAACATTCAACGGATTTAAACACATTAAATATAATAATGTGTCAGTATTTTTGACTCGATTAGTTTCAAACTCTCACGGGATCTCACTGAATAATTTGAGCCATCAAACTTAAAAAATCGATCCACCCGTTCGCTCAAAAAACGTGACGTACCTACAAGCGGTCAGCCTAAACTCATTACCCTTCTAATGACTTCACCATAGTCGGCTAAAAACTTTGAAAATCGAGTCACGCTGTAAAAGCCTGGAACTCAAATTTTATTAGAGAGTTCGTTTTGAAGGATTTCCGAGCGCTCGATCATAAACATAAACCAAAAACATCATTTAAAGCTTCTTCGTCTTACGCATGCAATATACATTGAACGGGAAATTTGCTTTATAAAATGAGAAATGCGCAATTTATAGCGTATTATGAATAATTTTAGTTTTTTAATAACTGCTTTTTGCAACGTGGTTGTCGATATCTTATTTCCAAAATGAAGAATAACAAATAATTTGTTCCATCATCATATAAAATTGGCCATTTAAATAAAAAGAGTTTTAAAAAAATATACAAATTAATAAATAATAAGTGATTCTTTGATGTGATGTTTTGTCAATAAAAAATTATTTTATTATGTAATAGTAAATATTAGTAATTAATAGAAATAGAAATATAAATAGAAAAATCTTGCGAATAGAAAAAGTTTAAATAAAATCTTTATTCTGGGACTAGGTCCCTTTAGAATAACAGTATTGTTCATATAAATTAACCATAAATCTGGCCAAAAGACTTCTTACAATGAATAATAACAAAATACTAGTAATAAATTAAGTATTAATTAAGCTCTTAGGATAAATTAATGAGAACAGTTGGGTAATAAGGGTTCAGTACTACAATATTGGAGCTAAAACAATAGCATAATAATCACTGAATGAAATTAGAAAGGAACACAAAATCAATTTTATAGGCAAAGCATTGTAGTGATGGAATATAAAAATTAAATACAGTAAACTATAGAAATTAAATATTAATTTTTCCTGCTTTTTTTTTTAGTTATATTGGTCTTATACACTGGCACTTAAAACATTGGAATTTAGTAGAGACCTGCTTTTATTATATAAAATAGAATTAGTTTTTTCATTATATTTTACTTACGATATATTAGTAAAATCTAAGATCATTACTTGAAGAATTAAAAACTAGTCTGTGTTGGCCATACTTCCAAGAGAGTTAAGCCCAAGTTTTCTTAATAACAGCTTATATATTGCTGTATTAAGCTAAGCCTCAGCATATTACACTTTATGAGTTTTATAGATTGACCTATATTTAAAGGAAACTGAACACCCAGAGGTAAAAAAATACTATTTATAGGAATTTATCATAAGAACTAATCATAAAACAAAATTTTAATGACCTATTTGACTTAATTTTTTCTCGATTTTAAAATTTCCTAAAAGTTTTAAAAAGGAGAAAAAGCTGCCCTGAAATTAATTTAGAATAAAAATGGCAATATCGTCAGCTGAAATAAAAATATAATGAAGAGATAATAACACGTTCAGCATTTGCTAAAGTGTGGAAACGTAATTCGACAAAGGCAAAGCAGATGATGAAAAAAAAAATACCGCTTGAATAACTTTTGTGCCAATTAGTTCTGTCTGATTACATTCACTAACAATACATTGTATCGCAAATAATTACATCGACCTGCAACATAATATCCAAATCTTAGAGGTCGTGCTCCTATGACCTTAACATCCCTTAAGTAACATCCCTTAAGTCCTTGACGTTATTCCATACCGATTTTCAAATTTTCATCAGAACCTAACCTATCATCCTAATCCCTTAGCACGATCCTTATCCAGTTCCAGTCATCCCTACAATCCTCCTCGAAGGTTGAAGCGGCAGTGGCCTCGAAATCTTTTGTAAAGACGTCATTGGAGTCCTGGCAATGGCCAGCTTCTCCACTTAAGTCATTAGCGTATGTGGCTTTAGTGCCCTCTCTCAGTCTCCACTGGATTCCCATCCTGGTGATGCGGTTGAGAGAGAAGCGCTGGGATTTCTTGTAGTCTTGCCTTATCCTCCAAACGTGGGGGAGAAGGCCAGACTCGGAGCTCTCTCGGCTGACTGTAAATATTGTAAATAAGCATGAATGTGTTTTTATTAATTTATTTTTTTTTATTTATTTATTTAATGTTGTATCATGTTTGATTTATTCTGTTACTCCAAGTTTTATTTTATTTTGTTATAATCTTGTTTTTCTTTTATTGTATATATGGTATGATTGTGTTTCATTCATCCTAAATACTCAATGCCCTTAATTGAGGCAAAATTTGTTTTTTCCCAAAAAAGAAAAAAAAAATGAGGTCGTGCTGGGTAAAAGATAATGAGGACTGGGGAAAAACAGCGAAGTATCATGTGAGTGATTAGAGGTAGCAATTGTAGGTTTGAATAAGTGTTACGGTCTTTAATTTGGAAAGATTGTTTCCGCAACAAACTTGCCGGATGCTCAGTGGAGACGGTAGGGTTCGCAAATAAAAAAAAAAATATATATATATATATAATCAAGAGTCAATTAAATATTACTAACTATCTAACAGGTGCCACGCTATTTAATAGGTTGAATTCGGAAAATAACGAAAACCATAAAAATAAATAAATTTAAAAAAAAAATTAGGACGCGGAGCTACGAACTCGGAACCTATGGGTTTAAAAACATAAGTAAATTAAATTCATAACCTATCGAAACTTCTTACTCGGTCAATATTCATTTTCCCTAATCCTCCGAATAGAAAACCTAAAAAAAAAAAAAATATAATATACGTACAACGTGAAAACAAACTGAAGAAAAAGAAGAAAATAAAACTGGCTATTATTAATACTAATGATGAATTTACTTATTTCTATTGATTTAAGTAACTGTCAAAGGAAATAAAAATTATGAACAAGAAATTAGATTTATAAGAAAACAAAGAAAATACAATTAACTTTAATTATCAAAAAATAATATAAAATTATTATAGAACTAAACATTAACTTAGACTATACAATAAACCAATGTCAAATATTTTTTTTTTAAAATAGATAGAAAATAAAAACTTATATACACATTTACAAAATCTCAATGCCGAACCTTCTCCAATTTGCACATTGAGTTATCTGTGGAAGCGATAACTTATTCCAGCTAACGCCATCAGGGTGTCCCCAGTCCACCTCTTTAAGCTGTGAAAATGTTCATTCACCAACTTATAAAATCAAGCGGCGCTCGTCACTGATAATCACAGGTTCATGGAAAAGAAAAGAAAATCCGGTGTACATCGTAAAACTAAAGTACTTCACATACAAAAATCCTTAGCGTGCCTCAATTCTCGCGAGGTTCCGCCATCTCTCTCTCAACTGTCTTTTGTTTTTCCAATCATCTGTTGGTTATTCCAATCCGAAATAAAATGAATACTTAAAACTAAGACTTATTATAAACTAATACTTATTATTAAAACTAATACTAAATACTTAATTTTATATTTAACCCTCTTCGAGTTAATAAAATAAACTAACAATTATTTTATTTTTTTGTATTTTATTTTTCGTCATACAAGTTAACTTCTTAAAGCATCTAGGGGTCCACCTTGATGAAAAATATTGAATAGACATAAAAGTGGCAGATAAAATTACTGCAGTAGGATAACTTTTCGCTGTCATTATGGGAAGATCGCTCTATAAAAGAGATATTACTCAAAGCACTAAAATCTCTGTCTAATATTCAACTTTCTTTTCATTAATTCTGATTCTTCAAAATCGTGAGCAAAATCCAATGACAAGAAAAGACGGCGAGATATCCAAATGTATCTTAGGATAGAAGTAAGATAAACTAGAGGGATAAATAGATAAACTCGGTAAGGAGGGATAAAATAGAGCAGCCTAGGCTGAGATGTTATAGCGATGTTAAGAGAATACCAGATAACCGATTGGCCAAACTAAGACATGGCGCCATGATGGAAGGTAGCAGAAGTTGAAGAAAACAAACACATATTTGGCAAGATGAAGTCGGAGATCCCTTTCAGAGACAAGACGTCGACTGCAATCAGTAGAGTGAGTTGGCAGAGAACAAAACCACTTGGAAGCAACTCTATAAAAAGGAACCTCACAGTGATCAGCGTTAGAGAGGGATTATGAAATGATGAAGACTAAAAATTCGATTCGATCCGACCAATAATGTATTGATAAATTAATGGGGATCAGTGTTCATTTATTGCTTGATATATTAAATTATATTTCAGAAAGGTCTAAGCGTGGGTACGTTTGTTGACAATAATCTGATGGAATACCTTACTTCTGTGTATTCAAATATTTATTAATTGTTATTTTGTTTTATATTTTTCCTCCTTGTTAGTCCGTTGTGGTCAAGTAATAAATTTTAAATACATAGGATGTCCAGTATGTAGTGGAAAATATTTAAAAATGTAATAGTGAACCTCAGGAACTAAAGAAATGTTTATGTGAAGTATTTCGATTTTTTTTTTAAAACAGAAATTAGTTCTCGTTTTTTTTTTAAGTATAACGTATTTTCTTGAATAGGAAGCGATAACTAAAAACAATTTAATTGGAGCACTGAAAAATGGTTTTATAGTAAACTAGACAAAGTTTACTTTAAACCAATGTTTGTCATTGACCAAACCATTTAAAAAGACTTTCGAGCGGTTAAACTAAGCTAAGATTGTTCACGCCCCTTGAGTTTCTTTTGGGCCGTCATTTGAATCTTAGTTCTGATTCACACTACTACATAAAGAAGTACTGTTTCTTCAGTTGTGCAAGGAGGTTATTCGAACAAGATCACGCTCAACCTTATTTCCCCCCCTTGATTAATAAATTAATTAACAGTACCCACTTCAAAGAGGCTGGGTGGGCCCCAGGAGGGTCTTTCCACAGCCGATGTAGCAGAATAAATAATTTCCTGCCATCAAACTCAGGACCTCGAGCTGCTGAAGCCAGTGCCCTACCCACGTTCCCAATTTTTTTTCTAATTTAATCTATCAAACGTAAAAGACTGTTGAGCCCTTTGCTGGGAAAATCGTTTAATAACATTCAACGGACATGCTATACACATTAAATATAATAATCGATTCAGCCGTTCGTTCGAAAAACGTGATGTACCAACAAGCGGTCAACCTAAACTCATTACTCTACTAATGACTTAACTTTTTCTCTTCTACTTCTACATATCCAAATATTTATTAATTGTCATTTTTCTTTTTTATGATAAGCTTATAAGAAATTTATATATTTATTTAAAGAAATCTTAGCAGTACTTAAGTGACAGTTTCTGACATCAAGTCCAACCATTAAGTAGCAATAATCAAAACTATTATTTTATTAATAGAAACTCTAGAGTTGAAATGCTTCTGATGGAACTCACATCAAACCATTTTATCGTCTAACATGTAAACCTGTTATTCAGAATAGCAAAATCAATGGTAAACACCAATCTGTTTTCTCTTTCTTTATACGATCTTATATACCATATACTACAACAAGGATTAAGAAAGGGGAGGAGCACGTTAGACCAAATTTTCATTGTAATACAAGTACTCGAACAACGATGGGAAGTAGCTTCGGACGTCCGTGCTCTATTTGTCAATTTCAAAGCAGCTATGATTCTGTGGACAGGAGCTATCTTTCGAAAATCATGACTGAACTGGGACGTAAAAGACTGTTGAGCCCTTTGCTGGGAAAATCGTTTAATAACATTCAACGGACATGCTATACACATTAAATATAATAATCGATTCAGCCGTTCGTTCGAAAAACGTGATGTACCAACAAGCGGTCAACCTAAATCTAACCATCTCGGTAAGATGGTGAGATTGCCGTGTGTGTAGAGTCTTAATACAAAGAGAAGTATATGAAGGCTTCAAAGTTCAAACGGGCTTACGACAGGGAGATGGACTATCACCGATGTTGTTAACTTCGCCCTGGAGGACGTAATAAGAGTAACATCAGAGGAAAATGGAGAGGTCAACGTCGGAATGAATCATAAAATTCTTGAAAAACAGGTGATCCAGCTGTCCTTGGAAGTAATCAAAGGAGACATTGAAAAACTCGCAACAACACTGATAAGAGAGGCAGAGCAGATCGGCTTACAAGTAAATGAGTACAGAAGAAAATATATTATAATAAGGCGAAAATTCCACCCCAATGACATGACTTGCATAAAAGGAAGATCATTCCCGAGCGTAGAAAAATTCAAATACCTCAGCTTCACAACAACCTCAATGAATGACCAACGGGCAGAAATATACCAGCGTATAACTAGCGCAAAGAGATCTTTCTTCTTTCTTTCAAACGTATTTCAATCAAAAATATCAATAAATCTCAAATTAAGGGTGTAAAATGCTAAGATAAAACCAGTTCTGTTGATACTTGGAAACTAACCAGCAACCTTGTTAGAAAATGTGTGCAAACGTTGAAAGAGTATACTTACTTACTTTAACTAGCTTCTCATGTCTTCCACTTTATGTTTTACTAGACAATACTTGTTTTCCTTCAGAAAACTGATATGTCCTATACTCTCTTTTCCCTTCTTTTTGTGAAGATAATCGCTAAAACTATGTCATCAGGAAACCAGATATGTATCGGTTAGTCTTGCCCAAATGCAAGACTCGTCTTGGTCTTGCGCACTGTCTTAATCTCGGTCTTGAGCAAGAGTCTCGCAAGTCTTACCTATTCACTTAATAATATTTATTAAATATGTTACTTTAGAGGTTAGAAAAATGCTGCAGAATAGGTAAACTTAGATATTTTTATTGACATTAAGATAGTGAAGTCCAACCAAATTAATAAAATAACTTGAAACTACATTACAGACATTTTCAAGAAAAATATTGATAGACCCCCGTCTTGGAATGGAAGATTGGCACAGTAAACATAATCTATACTATGTTACCAATTATTTAAATATGATCATTAAAAATACAATTGAATTAGACTAATTTTCCTGATAAACGATCAGAGAAATCATAACATTAGATTTATTTGATGAACTAAAGCAATCTAAACGAGCAAGTGGACAATTATTAAAATCAGTGTATGAAACGTAATACACTGTAACGTTGCAAAAATTCGTCTAATTTAGATTTTATTACAGTTTTATATGAAATTTAACAACCTTTTAAAAAATATCACTTCAAATTATCACTTTAAAAAAGTAGTATTAGATAGTAATATACAGATATTACTGTCAATTTTCAGATTGAGGAAACCTAAGTAAATCCCGAATGTAAAATTGGAAGTGTTTAATGCGAAAGTATATAATTTTTTACATTTAGTAACTATAATTGTCTAGTATTGGTAACTATTTTGCCTTAATTTTTATTAAATGTTGCACTTTGCAAGACCAAGACCAAGACTAATTTTGGGCAACACTAGTATCAATTCCTTTATTGTTATATACTCTTATCATTCGTTTTTTCATCGATAAAGATTACGTTCAAATGTATGTCCATAATTATGGAGGAAAAAAAAAATGAACTCCGTAAAGAAAGTTGTATCCATATTCTAAAAAGGGTCATTTTTTCACGTTAATAACTTTAGATGTAGTCTCAAGGTTTCTTTCATCCCTAAGGAGTTCCAGCACTTTAGACGATAAAGCCTTTGGAAGCACTTTTTCTCTTTGAGTACCTAACTAACTTCACCCAAGTAGAAACTAAACTTCCTATCTTTGGAAAAAGTCGATGAAATGATCAAAAGAAATGCAATTGGGAAAAAGTTAAAAGCTTTTTTTTTTTTTTAAATAAATAATAAGAATATTGATTAATAATATTTAAATTAAGTATGTTTGATTTCAGTGAATTAAAACAACTTTTTTTTCGGCTTAGGTAGTACACTTACAGCATTCTTCTAATACTACATTTTCAGTTTAGTTAAGTTGCTAAGTTTTCGATGTGCTTATTTCGAGCATCCTGTCAAAGTTATTTATCGACCTATAAATCTTGAAGTTGCTTTTCACTGGGTGATATAATGCTAAAATTATCTGTTGTTAGAAATAAACAACTTAGGAGCTTTTAAGGTTGTTGGAAACGCTAGTTCACTTTATTCTATTTTCTGTAAATTATCATTTATCCACCACCCTGCCAAGTTAGAAAAATATTAGTAATTATCACCCAATAAGTAGGACTTTATTAACTTTATTGTAATAAGTCCGAAACGTTACAAATAAATAAAAATGTGATATAAGTTAATAAAGTCCTACTTATTAGTTGATGATTAATTAACTTTTTAAAAAAACTATTTTTATTATCCCATTTTTATATAATATGTAATGTAAAAAAAAAAATAGTAACCAGATTGAAGGTAAAAACCCTAAATTTATTTTTTTTATTTTTATTTTTTTTGTTTCTAGAAACTGTACAGGTTCATAAACTGTGTTGAATTAGTAAGTCCTCACCACGCTGCCCGGGAATTGGTGCATACTATCCGACAGGGACAAATTACAAGTCTTTTTCAGAAAAGTGTTAAGAGAGTGAGTATTTTGTTTTTAAAAATAAATCAGTTTTCATTAATTGTACTTTGAGATGTTATTATTTCTCAAGTTAATTGAAATATAATTATTTTAAAATCTAAACGAAAGACGTCATAGTGTTTTTAACGGAATGTATGCCTTTATGATGTATGCCAACTCTAAATATAAAAATTAATTATATTCTTTAAAAATACAATATCAGGCATTCTTACATTATTTCTGTCCTAGAAGGAGCATGAACAAAGGAGAAGAAGAAAAAGCAAAGCTCAATTTTTCGAAATGATACAAGAAATAAGGAGGTAAGGAATACTATTTACAATTTTATTTATCATATAAATCATTTTATTATTAAATAAATCACTGTAGATGTTATTACATTTTGTATTAAGTTATTTTTTTATTAATTAGCCTATTTTTTATGAATTGTGTAGTTATGTATATATAAATATGTAATTTTTTTTTGTTCATCACAATAATAACCAATTTAGAAAAAATTTTATGCCCATTTAATTTTTTCCTTTTTTTTGTTCATTTTTAGTGGTTACATACTATTATTTAAATAATGTATATAATGGTAGAATTTTTATAAGTTAGTTTTTGGCCAGATTTGTATTTTCTTTTGTATTAATTCATCATTGTTATTCTAAGAGGACTTAGACCCAGAATAAAGTTCAATTTTCTATTCTATTCTATTCTATCATATAATTGAGCCTATATTACTGATATCAACTCATTCACTGCAAAAATTGTTTTAAAACTTTATGAATAACCGCATTCCATAAAAAATAACTGCATTAAAATTCATATTGAGTAACCATTTAATTAAGAATATAGATTTGTATTTTCCACATCACAAAATTCACTAAATGATGTTTACTGCAATGATAAAATGACACGATAATATTCTAACACGATGTATTAAAAAAAAATGATTGGTTTGCCTAATTCAAGATTAGGAAAGTAAATAATTAAACCTATATAATACTTACCAATACTCAATAATCCATTTAGAACATTCTCTAAGCTTGTTTAATCCCATTCGACTTTTTCAAAAAATGTATTTGTTTAATTTTTTCTTTCAAAGAAGAAACATGACAGTGCCTTACGAAATTCTCGTAATTTTGAGGCATTACTGGTAAAAAATTTACGGTCCCTAAAGCAACTCCTAATATTATTAAATATGGAAGGGAAGGTGTCATTGACCAGCTCACTTCGCGACGTTGTTTTGAAAAATTTAGCAGTGGAGATACGACGTTGGGTAGGAAGAAGAGCTCCGGGCGACAATTAATGGATATTGATGAGGTTCCGCAGGAAGGTTTTAAGTGAAATCCGTCCCCAAGTACTCACGAACTTGCCAGGAAGTGTGGTGTGTCGAAAGCCACTGTTTGTAGCCATCTAATCTCCATGGGGAAGGTGAAAAAGAGCAGTAGACTGATCCTTCATATTATTATTCCTCTTATTCCTGATTCCTCAGCAATGAGCTAATAGGTTAGAAAAATTTGTTTATATGTATGATGAAAAGTGGGTTTACTAGCGAAATCCGAATACCCTTGAGCAATGGCCAGATCGCGGTCAAACTGCTTTTCCGGTTGATGCAAGGGGGTAATTTGAAAAAAAAAATTCATGCTTTACTTTTTTTTTTTTTTTAAGTTTTGCTCATCACAAATTGGTTCCTGATGGATGCTCTATAAATTCTTAACTCTACTGCGATCAACTGGAAAGATTGTACGCGAAGTTGTCAAAGCGTTATCTTGCTTTAGTCAAACGAAAAGGAATTTTATTCCAACCAGATAATGCTCGTCCTCACACTTCCCGTCGGACCAATGAAAAGTTTAAAGAACGTCATGGGTTCGAAGTTCTGCCTCATCCACCATATAGTCCAGACCTCGCACCATCGGATTACTACTTATTTAGATCCATGGCCCATGTTCTTCAAGAGAAAAAATCTGATAATTTTACGGAAGTTGAAATTGATGTCCAAGAATTCTCCGACAGCCATTCCAAAGAATGCTATCATCGTGGGATCGAGCAATTGGCTAGCAGATGGCTGATGACGGTAGATAACAATGGAGTATACTTTGATTATTAATTGTATTTTATACCAAAGAAATAATAGAACAAATGTTTGGGCATTTTTCTTAAAACACACTATTATGTTTTTCAATATCTTTTTACGTAGGAACGTAATTGTAGGCTTATTTTCGTAAAAACAGTTACTTTGAAATTTTCGTTAAGAGTATTTATCCCATTATTATTATAGAGTTTGGTATATATGACTTCAAAAAGTATTTTTATACTTTCAATAATTTTCATTAATTTTCTCTTGATGTAAAACAACCGAGAAACAGAGAAATTAGTCATGGTAGGCAATAGCATGAAGCAGTTTCTTCCTGTATAATTGTAAGGGTGATTTACATTGCTCTAGTTAGGCAATGTGAACTAGTGGCGTAACTGAGTATAGTTGTACATGCACATCTATTAGTTTCAACAACGCATGCGCTGGAGTACAAAACTTTGTTACGTAATCACCTTAACTGTGGTTTAGTTAAATACTTGTAAACCTAAATGTAAGCTCTAAATTCTTGATCTCCATTCTCAACCCTTATAAATCGTTATTCTGCTGAATAATGATTTTCGTTTCTATGATACGTGTATACAGTAACAAGTTAAATGTGATTTTTTTTTTTCGAAACCTTGATATCCTCCTAATCCGAAAAACATTAAAGTGATGTACCTTTATTTTTGCGATTTGTGAAATATAAAATTAACTTAATACCCTCTTCATTTACCAGTATTTCTTTTTTACTCTGAAAATATTATCGAATTTTATTATATTGTATAGTACCCGACCTAAAAATACATTAATAATAATAATTTTCTTTTTTTTTTAATAAACTCCTCTGCCTTTGGATATTAGGCCATTCGGCTCCTGTCAGCCCAATACAACTTCGCCATGAATCCTTTGTTTAAATTTGTTCCGATCGCATCATAAGTACTGCAGACATCTGACAGAGCGGGGCAAACTGAGAGGTGCAGGTCGTACATCTCACACAGGGGCACACAGGACTTCCCACCACTCCAATCCTATATAAATGCCTTTGCAGGTAATCGTGCCCTGTTGCCATGCGGAAATTTGCCACCGATTCTTTCCGATTGTTGGTTTGTTTCATCGGCTCCTCTGTTAAACATTCCCATTGTCACCGCGAAGACAGTTCAACATAATAATAAAGTCAAACCAATGATAAAATAAAATAATTATTTATAGGTCAAATAAAGACAAGCAGTTTATTTTAAATGATCCAATAAGTGTTCAACTAGTATCATATGTTTACGTTATTATGATTGGTAGTGGGAAGGTTTATATAATTAGAAATAAGTTATTTTTGTGGATTTTATGACATGATATTAATACTCTCTCGTAATACAAAAAGTGAATAACAATGGGAACTTGAATAAAGCAGTGATTGAGTGCAATTTCAAAAAAACACACACCAAACTATATATTTCAGGAAATTTTATTAAGAAAAGAGTTTTAATACACGCACCCCCACATATATTATTACAGTAAGGCTCGAAATCGGTTTTGTACCAAATATAAGCTTCTATCATGCTCAAATTCCATGGATTCCTTCGGAACTATCGGATCCTTCATTTTTAAGCCCAAAAACGTAATATTTTCGAGATAACGCTTGCGTTAGTGTAATGCATTGGCATAGGGTTCGCATCCACACAACCTTACGTTAATTGTAGTACTGTCATTGAATACATGTCTCATTTCATCGAATTGAGACTATGATCGAGAGAGGAGCAGTTTATATTATTTATCGATGGTGTTTTTGATCTGCAAGCCATTTTATCGTTAATTAGTACTAGTGGATTAGAATGTCCAGCTAAGAAGTCATGAAAAGTTTTGTAATATTTTTTAATTACATCAGTCACTTGCGGTATTTGTAGGACTTTATGAAGTGATTTATTGGTTATGTAGAAGGGACAATGAGTGTTATACCGGAGAAATTTAGATTAGAAAGTTTGAATAGTCTGTAAGTGTGTTGTTGTTTTTTTTTTTGTTTTTTTGCATGAACCCCACACCTGAGAGGCATACGTCCAAATTGGTCTGAGTAGCATGTTGTATATAGTAATTATGTTGGAAAGTGATAGTTTGTTTTTATGGTGTAGCATTCCTCTTAGTAGTGACAATCGATGGTTCAATCTATTTTTTAATGTAGTCACGTGTTTCCAGGTCAGTCGTCTGTCCATTGTGAGTCCTAGATATTTTGTCTCTGTATGATTTAGCAAAGGGGTGTTGTAAAGTGTCAGTGGAGGGCAATACGAACGTTTAAGTGTAAATGTAACCTGATTTGATTTTTAAATGTTAATTTTTATGCGCCATTTATCAAACCACTTTTGTAGAAGATTTAAATGAATCTGTGCTTTCTGAGATGCTGTGATCGGATTAGAGTTAGTCGAGAGTATGACAGTGTCGTCTGCGTAAGTTGCGAGTAATGTGTCTGATGTCTGTGGAATATCAGAAGAGTAAATTGAGTACAGAACCGGACCTAAAATACTGCCCTGCGGTACTCCCGCGCCGATTCGGCAATAGTAGGAGTATTTACCATTCTGGTTAACAATAAAAAATCTATCCTCAAGAAACGATCTGATGATTAAATAGTATGTATGCGGAAAGATCGGTTTAATTTTACAAAGTAGACCATCATGCCTCACTTTATCAAAGGCCTGTGAGACGTCTAAGAAAGCTGTTGTGCAAAATTCCTTCTTTTCCAATGCCACAGCAATTGTATCAATCACTCTATGATATTGTTGTATGGTAGAGTGTGCAGGTCTAAATCCAAATTGGTGATTAGGAATAACATTGTTTGCTTCTAAAAATAGATAGAGCCGTTTTAATAATAATTTTTCAAATATCTTGGAAAATAAGGGTAAAAGACTGATAAGTCTATAGGACGTGACTTGGTCTAAAGGTTTGCTTGGTTTCGGTATCATTTTTATGATTGAAAATTTCCATACTAGAGGAAAGTAAATAAGTCGAAGGATAGAATTGTAAGTAGCTGTCAGGAAGATTAATGCTTTTTTTGATAGAAGTCGTACAATTTTAGGTGTGATTAGGTCAAAACCAGGAGATTTTCTGCGAGGTAATTTTTTAATACAAAATTCTATGTCCGAACGAGTTATAAGGGGAGGAGGTAGTAAAGGGGAAGAGGATAAATGAGGATTTGTTGGACGTCTGAGCAGTGCTGTTGGTCAGGCAAGTCTTCATGTGGATGAAATACGTCTGTAAGAT